TTCGGTGAGTTGAAGAAAAAAAGGAAAAGAGAGAGAGGCTGGGATGGAGACGGATGACAAGAGTGACAGAAAGAAACCGAAGCCGAGGGGTTTCGTGGAACAACCAGGCCGAGTGATGGATAAGTGTGAAGAAAGAGGGGAGTTAAAGAAATGATTTCTCTCTCCTTTTTTGATGTATATATATTTTTCAAGGAGGCTTCAGATGTCTGGCCCACAGCTGTCCAAATAACCGTCACGCCTCTAAGAATACAAAACCCGGGCTCTTGTCCTCTGCTCACACGCCCTCGCTCTACACAGACATCAATCCCCACTGTGGTCTGGAGGAGAACGCAGCAGGGTGTTTCCCTCAGGGCAGCGCCTCCCCTGTTTTGCCTCACCAATCTCACTCGCTGAGAGTACTTTCTCGCCCCGGGATGGAACGCTCTGGCTTTCGTCAGGGTGTGTTTAGATGGCCGCTGATCTGTGTGCATTATCCGACTGACTGCTGCAGTTCTCACTCCTACGAGGAGGAACATAGCAGGGGCGTGGCGATACGGACGCAAAGTTCCATCGCGATATTTTGCTGTAACATTGCGTTAACGATAACAGTAACGAGAAGAACCACTGCATGGCTTTTAGGCAGCTGTGTGTCTGTGACTATGTGTATTCTCCCGCAAACACAATTAATGCCCTGAAGAAATGTTCCCATTTGTAACATGTTTCTTTAGGATAGCAGTCACGTGTGGTTAGTTTTAGCAGGCTGCACACTGGAGATGCATCAATCTGATATTAATATCTCTATCAGCCCCGATACTGACAAAACACTCTAGATTGCGCATTGATTGGCAATTTGACCAACCATAAGATCTATTCAGTCTATTTCTATGCTTTGTGTTCTGAGCAAAGTCATGATTTACTATTTATTTTACGTCATATTTAAAATTCCTAATTGCATTTTCTGAAACATTTGATAGCAAATTGGTTCATTTCTGCATGTTTGCATCTCAGAGAATTTTTAAAATATTTTTTATTTACCACATCCAACTTTTAAATACCCATGAAATTAAATTCTTTAACAGTTTTTCCCGCATTATTTTTCCCTTTACTGTGGCACAGTGAATTAATAATGCCTACATCTCCACGTTTCATTTGGGTAAAGTTATTGTTCTACCGCAGCATGGCGGCTATCAATGGCACGTAATGGAATCGTTCTTTTGCCCTGCAGCGTTTTGAGCGTGTGCAAAATCTTTACGCGAAGATGAAAACAAGCGAGGGGTCGACAGGAATTCATGTTTGTTATGTTACGTTGCATGTCGTTCTGATGATCAGGCCAAAAAACACAAGATTTCCTTAGATAAAAAAAAAAAAAAAAAAAAGATTTTCAACGAAATTACTTTGTTTTAATTGGATTTTTACAGATTTTTCTCCCAATTAAAGCCTTTAAGTTTCAGTTTATCAAAGTCCGTATGTGAGTTTGTCTGTAAATAACCTCTCATTTTGCTTCTTTCTTGCCTTTACCTTTCATTTTCTTATAAAATAAACCACCTAGATAAATGATATGGAGATACAGAAGCAAAAATTTCACAATTTAAAATGTGAAAAAAAAAAATGCTGTGTATATTATGTTAGGATCTCCATTAGTTTCCACCAAAGTAGCAACAAATCTTCCTGTGGTCTAATACAGAAATATTCATACAAAATACAGGACAACATTAACATGAACTTAAAATGCAGTAAATTTGTCAGGCATCACATGTTACAAACTAGATTTTTTTTAATGAGATTTCAGTGCTTTGTTAAAGGAAAGTGTACAATTTAATGTTATGCAATGACGTCTAAATGCAAAAACAAAATGTTCAGTAATTTTTTCACTCTGGTATTTTATGCCACATAACCTATAATTACAGAAAACCTGTGAAGCATTTGTTTAATTAAGATAGCAAAGCTACGACTTAGTTACAGCTACTGAACCAGGAGTTGTTTGGACATTTTCTCCTCTGCAGAGATTCCAGCCTGATCTGCCTTGAAATGCTGCCCTATTACACAACAATGCTCTCTCGTTCTTAATTGGCTGAAAAACAATCCAGTCTTCCAGGGGAAATGGAGGCTGCTGGTTGTTTCAGGTCAGTAGCTTCACATCAAAGCAAGAGGGAAAACAAGGGAAAAGTCCTCATGATCGTTGGCGTCCTCCACGGAGAGAAAATCAGAAATATATGTAGTATAAAATGGGATGTATATTTTGCTTTTTGTGTTTTTTCTAAAAACCTTTCAATGCTTTACTCGGCATTTACTTGTAAGCGTCTCACAACCGCGGCGTTCAGGTTTTCCATGGCGACGCCTTTACAGTAATCTGTTTTTGTTAATCTAGAAATTGGATACATCTCTGAAGATCCACGTCATTTTCGAGCATCGACCTCAATCGCCGACACCAATCTGTCGGGCTTGATTGTGCACAGTGGAGGAGTGAAACCTGTGATCTGCATGTAAACGACGTGCAGCCCATCGCTGGGAGCGAACAGCGCCTCACAACTTTGGTAATTACTGGCCTCTGAGGAAGAGGGCCACGGTGCCCGTGCATTTGGAAAGCAAGAAAAGAGAAAGAATCTAACAATCAGAAATTCAGGTCCACAATATTGTGGGGCGGTGATTGAAAGTACGAATCAAAATATTTAATTTAGGTGCGGGATAAGAAATAGCACAACATCTGTACTGGAGTGGCGCGGCATCAGGTTAAGCGTTTACCAGACGTATAAAGTTGTTGGCTTTTTAAAAATAAGATTAAATGGAAAAAATATGAAAAGAATGATGCAAGTTAATTTTGTGTTATTTGGTTCAGTTTCTGTCTCAAATATTGTGAAGGCCTTTGACAAGAGCTTGAAAACCGCCAAGCTGAGAACGCTGGACTCAAATGTATTTTATCTTAATAAGTTTGAATTAGATGTCATATGTTTTACTTGTGGTTTTTTCATATGGCAATAAAAATATGAAAAATGCAATTCAAAATACCCCAAAACAAAACACAGTTGTTGTTTTTTTTCAAAAAGTTTTGTTTGTTTGCTATTCAAAAAAGTTACATTAATAATGTGTTTCCTGAACCATCTGAAAACTGAATGGCACAATTGCACTTCGTACCAATCTAGCGATTGGAAAGCCTAAATAACATCTTTTGTTGTTGAGCTCACATGTTTATTGTTTCAGTAATTTAGCAGCATAGAGAGGTTTCGGATTGAGAATGTTGCTTTTTTAGGTTCTGGATTAAAATTTGATTAACTACAGACTCCATTAAAACTGTTTCTGGAGCCTAATCTGTAAAATGCAATTCAGATTAATTTACTTTCATTCTCAACAGCTAAACAGGAAATTGTGCAAAAAAAAAAGAAAATAATGATAATAATGCACACATCTCTATGGAAACATATTCAAATGATGTTTTGTTGTTGTTGCTGCTACATGCAAAAAATAAAACGCAGGTGTTCCCTTTCTCAAGTGCATCAGTCAAACCATCCGAGGATGTTCGCCAGCTGACCGAACCAAAAGTCCCTGCTGATGAAATATTTAGCTGACACATCAGATCGTCTGCAAAGTGCTTCTTCTGAGGACAGAATTTACTACGGCAGTAATCACATCATCCTTCCCTGAACACCATCCTTGATAAAGGTTTTGGCCTGAAAGCCTGATAATATTGCTTGGCTCGTTGCCATGTTTGGTTAAGTCTGCACGCCTCCAACTTTGGCTGCGCTATGATTCTATTGATTCTTTGTAGGTCTGAGGGTTTCATGTTTTTTTTGTTTTTTTTGGGGCATTTGGGACAGGCAAAAGAAAAAAAGAAGAAAAAAAGGCATGTCAGGATCTAACTGTGTTTCTAAGTTAAGTTCAAAAGAGATTAAAAACAAGAAATCTTTCCCAGCTCAGGATTCTTATTTTGTTCCTTTTTTTTTCAAAAGTTTACTGTTTTTTTTTACTCTTTTTGAACATTTTCTGTAGCTGCTTGTTGACAGCTCTCGAATTAGGTCAAAGTAATGCAAAAGAAAACTGCACCATCGCCAATTCTAAGTCAAATTTAAACGATACAACAAAAATGACTCAAAACGTGGAAGTTTAGGGTTTTAAAAGAGCAAAAATACATTTCAAATTCAGTCTAATTCAAAAATACTTAAGTAATCCCAAAGGGAACAAAATACATACATTTTACAAATTTACAAAGTCAATGAATGTGTGAAATCAAACTGACAGAATGTCAACATGTAACTAATAAAACATCTATTATTTGTTATCTTCATGCAGTCAGCACCTACTGGTGACCTTGGTGGGTTTTCAACAGAGGAGCCAAAATTAACTTGATTTGAAGTATCAGAAAGTGGAATACAGTGCACTGAAAAACTTTTCACATTGTATTGTTGCTGTCTGAGCAAAATGTGATTAAAAAGCTTAAAAGAAAAGGCGTTTTTTTTTTTTTTTTTTTTTTTTAACTGTGTAGCCCTTAACTTAATTCGGTGAAGTCAAGCGTATTTACACATCTGTCATTTGATCTCGGTATGAACAGTTTATCGACCTCAAAATGCATAAAAGAGAGGAGACGTGGAAGAAAAACCTGCTAAAACATTCCAACATGACCGCAGCTCAACAGCCAGACCTGAGGCCAAGCGGTTCAAATTAAAGCATATTCATGTTTTGAATGACAGCTAAATTTGACTTGAAAAGCACCTGGGCTGTATGGTAAAGAAGAATGAACGCTGTTTGTCTCTGCAGGTCCAAAGGCTGGAAAACACAAACCCCATATTTTGCTGCTGTAATTGCAGTTAAATATGTCTTAGCACAATACGAGGCCAGAGGCGCTCAATGCGAATTCAAACTAAACCTTTTATGCTTTTATTTATTTCATTGTGTATGATGTTTTATATCACAAAGAAAACAACAAAATATTCTAGGGTTTACGGTTGTTATTAAGGCTATTGCAATAAGAAAATAATCAATAAATTGCATGATAAATTAAAAGGAGTTTTTTCATTTGCATCCTAAATATTAAAATTTCGATGTGATAATCTATAATCCATTTCATTTACGATTTTGGTTGTCTTTTCTTCCCTCCCCCACTTTACTTATTGTGTTTAGTTGTCATGTTTTATTCTGGGTATTTAAAATATCTTCCAGTTTCAGTGAGAAGTGTTACAAAATTAAAGTCTATCTGTCTTTGAGAGGATGATTATCAGTTTATTACTTTATGCATTATCGTTTATCGCAATAATTACTGGGACAGTTTATCGTCTGGCTAAATGTATTTTTCTGTCGTGACAGTCTCAGTTGTTAGGCAACAAAAACAAAACAAAACATCCACAAGGCATTAATATTTTTCCAAGGCGTTCAGTACATGAAAATGTTAATGTGACGGTAAAAGGAGAGTCGATGTATAATCTAAACAGGAGACGATCATGGAAAAGTAAGGATCAGAGAAGGAAAAGAGAATTAATAACCAAGTGACTGACATGTCCCCACAGATAAGAGCCATGGGAGGAGCGGAGAGAGGAATCAACATCAAAAGTCTGGAAGACAAAAGCAGTCATACAAAATGATCAGAGCGAGGATGTGAAAAGTTTTTTTCTTTTTTTATTTTTTTACAGGAGAGAAGGAATGAAGAAAGAAATTCAGAATGAAGAGAAGCAGCAGAGCAAGCAATGGATGGCTAAATGTGAGCAGAAAACAACAACAAAAAAAGAAATGCAAAGATGGCAAGGACAGAAGGTAAGGCTAATAGAGGCTTGATTGCCGGGACAAAAGACAAGAAAACAAACCTATGAGAAGAATTACATCAAAGAGGAGAAGGAGCAAAGTGCATTATGGGAGAGATAAATGAAACGAATAATGATAATGATAGTGAGGAAGTACAGCATAACAGAGAACATGTAACATATTCAAGAAATGTGGAGCGGGCTGGCAACGATCCGCTTTTTCCCTCCCGATACCGATATCTGAAAACTGCTGAACCGACTTCAAACATTTCCTTTTATAATAAACATAAATGTACTGATTTCCAAATGTATTTGACAACTCAATTAAACACACCAGTGGCTTCACAAGCTTGGTGAAACATGCTAAAACCACACAACTTTCATTTGTTCCGTCAGCGCAAGCAGGAGTAGAACAGTCAAATAAATAGTAAATAAACTGACATGTGACAAAAAACAATAGGCTGGCCACTTTGGACAAACACGTACAAAAAAAATTAACTGCAACAAGCCTTTCAAAATGGTTCAGAAAATGCAATTAGGAATTTTAAATGTAATGTAAAATAAATAAGAAAGCATCACATCACTCAGAACACAAAGCACAGATTTATTTTCAATATTGAGACCGATAAAGACATTAGTATCGGATCGGTGCATCGCTAGTGTGGACTGAAAAAAAGAAATATTGTTACAGAAAGAGGAAGCATTACACAACAGTGACAGAATGCGGTTTTCAGCTCTAGTAATAAGATTACTGGCGGTAGAGGTAAAACCGAATTAGTCCTAAAGAATCTGCGGCGCAGAAAAGGCCGGTAGCATTACAGGGAGACATGTAAATAACGGAGCCGCCAGCGTTAAATGGGGAGGAAGGAAAGACGGAGTCTGCTGACAGAGGGAGTTTGAGGACCAGCAGCTCTCAAATACTCATCTAATGAAAGACGCGGGCAGATTGTGCCAGAAATTACATTATGTGTGAAGCAAAGATGTGATCGGCTCAAAATGAGAAGTCAAACACGGTGACAGAAAGAACAAACGAGGAGGAGAGAACATGAGAAGAGTCAGGGGAGGACGGAAATGAGAGAGTTAAAAAAGCAGGGGCCAAAGAGAAATGTGCGAGGGAGAGCAAGGTTTGAAAAATGCTGCTTTCTCGCCGTCACACTAATGAGACTCGGGTTTTCTTTATGGACGCATTTTGTGTGTGTCACTGCTCCGTTTCCCTTACTCTGGATTAATGGGCGCGCACATTCATAAACACACACCAGGTAGATGCAAATTGCTGGGAGGGAAATCGCGAGCGTTGCGTCGTGCATAATGCATAGGACTCAAACTGTAATAAAGCTGTGTAATCAATGCGGGATGATCTGAATATGCGGCGTTCTGCCGCGATGTTTTATGGGAACTGACTGAGCCGGTTGAAACAAAGCGCCGCATTAAAGCCAGAGGTTCCCAACTGGTTCCTAGCAACAAAAACAAAACAAAATTAAAGCTGCAAGCAGCCTCGAACGGCCCTCGCAGCCAAGCGCCGCTCCGGCCTATTGCCACCGCGGGGTACTAGCAACCGTCGCCTCACGTCAGCCACCACAGAAGCTCTCACGCAGTTTTCAGCTCCTCCGCCCGCACCGCGGAAGCTGTTGCTCAGTTTCCATCAACGCTGGCCACGTGCTAACACAGAAGTTGTTGCGCAGTTTCCGCGCCCGTCCACCAGGCGGTACGCACTGATGCGTTCGGAGGCGCTCCTTGACGATGCAAAAAATGTGGTGCAGATTCATTGGTTTAGCGAGGAAATATAGCTGGCGGATTAATGTAGGACGCGCAGTGGAGTCAAAATATATTTAAATGCTGATGTTCTCTTTAGAGGTCAACAAAGGTCATACGTATCCAATTTGGCGTCAGTCGGATGATCCACGTGTCATTTACAGCCGATCGTATGCACATGGCGAAGTACTACTGTTCGTCATTTTTCATCATCTTCAGCTGTGTTTCTAAAGCACTCTATTTCATTGTTGGAGTAATACTTACTCAGAGTGGCGAATTACTGAAATGGTTTGTAAGAAGTAAGAAAACGCTACATTTACTGCATGATTTAATTCAACAAAAATTATCTGAGACATTTCTATCCTTTTAGAAATTTCATGGCAACGCTCTCACAAAGTTTCACGCCCATCCGCCCGTGGATCTGTTTGTCATTGGTGGAGGAACACTGACACCTACTGGCGAAATACTGATATTGTTCTTCATCCTGTTTATCTGCTGTTTCATTTGTGGAGCAATACTGACCCCAAGTGGCAAATTACCGAAATGGTTTATAAACGGCAAAAATGGGATGAAAATCTGAACTTCAATCAAAAATGGCCGACTTCCTCTGGGGTTTAGACCATGGCTCCAAGAGACTTTTTTGTAAGTCCTGACATGGTACACACGTGTACAAAGTTTCGTAATTGTAGGTTAAAGCATGGCTTGGGGCTGATCATTTAGAATTTTCTAGGGGGCGCTATAGAGAAATTAGGCCACACCCTACAAATATTGTGATGGATTCCTGTTGGGGAGTGGATGAAGATCCATCCTTGTGAGTTTGGAGCAGCTGCGCCCAAAAATGTGGAATTGAGAGCCAAACGTATGGCGATGGCGTTACAGGTGACTTCGCCACGCCGCCACGCCCAGCTGCTCCATCGAAGCTGGTCGGGGTTGGAATCCTCAACACACCAACATGTCTTCTGTGTCTGGGCACAGTTTCATGTTGATGAGGTCAAAGGGGTCAGATAGCGACCGTTCAGAGTAAAACATGACACTTCCTTTTCTCAGGGGGCGTGGCCTAAGTGATGTCATCATTCGACCATAGGGTATTGTAGGACACCCGATGATGATCAATCACAGAAACTTTGGTGCCTCTGTGAGTTTCTGTGTAGGAGATATAGCAGTTTATTTTTTATGGGGAGTAGGTGAACTTTGACCCCTGCTAACCCCCCTTCAGCATTCTCAAAAACTCACCGTTTTGATAACTTTAGATGGGACATGCCTTATGAGCAGACTGACCGAGTTTGAAGCCGATCAATCGAAATCCCTAGGAGGAGTTCGATCAAATAGGAAGGCTGTAAACGGCAAAAATGGGGTCAAAATCTGAACTTCAATCTAAAATGGCCGTCTTCCTGTGGGGTTTCGACCATGGCTCCAAGAGACTTTTTTGTAAGTCCTGACAAGGTACACATGTGTACAACGTTTCGTAATTGTAGGTTAAAGCATGGCTTGGGGCTGATCATTTAAGTTTCTAGGGGGCGCTATAGAGAAATTAGGCCACGCCCTCCAAATATTGTGATGGATTCCTGTCGGGGAGTGGATGAAGATCCATCCTTGTGAGGTTGGAGCAGCTGGAACAGAAACTGTGGAATTGAGAGCAAAACGTATGGCGATGGCGTTACAGGTCACTTCGCCACGCCGCCACGCCCACCTGCTCCAATGGAATCTGGTCGGGATTAGAATCCTCAATACACCAACATGTCTTCTGTGTCTGGGCACAGTTTCATGTTGATGAGGTCAAAGGGGTCAGATAGCGACTGTCCACAGTAAAACATTACACTTCCTGTTCTCATGCGGCGTGGCCTAAGTGATGTCATCATTCGACCATAGGGTATTGTAGAACACCCGATGATGATCAATCACAGAAACTTTGGTGCCTCTGTGAGTTTCTGTGTAGGAGATATAGCAGTTTATTTTATTATGGCGAGTAGGTGAACTTTGACCCCTGCTAACCCCCCTTCAGCATACTCAAAAACTCACCGTTTTGATAACTTTAGATGGGACATGCCTTATGAACAGACTGACCGAGTTTGAAGGCGATCAATGGAAATCCCTAGGAGGAGTTCGATCAAATACGGAGGCTGTAAACGGCAAAAATGGCCTCAAAATTGGACCTTCAATCCAAAATGGCCGACTTCCTGTGATACTTGCACTATGACATTAATTGTAAATTTTGAGCATCTTGGGGAGCTCTACAAGTGTACCAAATTTCATGTCTCTAGGATAAAGTAAGTGAATAGCAAAGGGTCCTTTGAAAATTTCTAGGTGGCGCTATTGAGCCATTTCTTATGGGATATTTGCAATGACCTTAAAATACAAAATTTTGAAACTCCCTTTACGCGTCCGCCAAGTTTGGTGAGTTTTTGAATATGATAAAGCCCTCAAAAAGCCAATTCATTTGGGTGGAAGAATAATAATAATAATTAAAGCTGCAAGCAGCCTCGAACGGCCCTCGCAGCCAAGCGCCGCTCCGGCCTATTGCCACCGCGGGTACGAGCAACCACCGCCTCACGCCAGCCACCACAGAAGCTCTCACGCAGTTTTCAGCGCCTCCGCCCGCACCGCGGAAGCTGTTGCTCAGTTTCCATCAACGCTGCGCACGTGCTAAGACAGAAGTTGTTGCGCAGTTTCCGCGCCCGTCCACCAGGCGGTACGCATCTATGCGTTCGGCGGCTATCCTTCACGATGCAAAAAAAATGTGGTATAGATTCATTGGTTTAGCGAGGAAATATAGCTGGCGATTAATGTAGGGGCGCAGTGGAGTCAAAATACATTTCAATGCTGTTTTGCTGTTTAGAGGTCAACAAAGGTCATACGTATCCAATTTGGCGCCAGTCCGATGATCCATGTGTCATTTAGAGCCGATCATATGCACGTGGCGAAGTAATGCATTTCGTCATTTCTACACCCCAATGCGGTTCGGTCAGCAGCCAGCATTCATAGAGTTCATCATGTTATCGTTTTTAGTCAGTATTCACATGATGAAACCCATAAATTATAGAATAACAGTAAAACATACAGCAGAAAAAACATGTGACTGCCTCTTAAAAGTGGGCGGGGCTACAGTGAGGTCATCAAGTGACCATGGAAATGTGTTCAGGGCTGTTCTCTAGAAAGACAGAGGAAGTTTGATGATGCAGCTGTGATCTTGCATTTGGAAGTCATTTAATGTTGATGTTTCATGGTAAATAGTGAAATTTTACACTCAGCCACACCCACATG